AGTCCACACTAAGAGCGCGCAGACACCTTTGACTAAACTATTATACGACTGTATAGTTTGGCTTTGATATGAGCTTATATGAAGGTGCACTAAACAGTTGAATGCGCTGCCAAACAATCGACAATCGCACAACTGTTGGCGATTGTTTAAAACGTATTTTGATTCGGCTTGTGTTCACCTTGTCTAGTGTCGACCTTAAGAAAGTCATCAGAATGAGATAACCTTTTAAAATACATTTTTATTGAACTGAAATTTAAGAAACCTAATTTATATTCTAGACTAGCTTTCGCCCGCGACTCCGTCCGCGTGGTATTGAAAAAAACAAAATTGAATAGCCTATGTGTTCTTCCAGACTATCCTCTACATCTATGCCGAATTTGATCGAAATCCGTTCAGCCGTTTAGGCTACAATATCTAACAAACATCCATCTATCCATCCATCCATCCTAAACTTTCACATTTATAATATTAGTATGATTACTATGTCGTGAGTGTATGCGTCCGTTAACAAGGTTTGTAGCAAACATTGACCGTTGCTTTAATAAATTATAAAGGGGAGTCTCGTTTAGGAATTAAGCAAACATTGTGGGAACTCATTTCGGAGGCCATTTTAATATGATAAGAGCATTAGCTGGAAATATTCTGTTTTTTTAGAAGGCTTTGATGTTAAGCCTTTTACAAAACATGAACGGGAACAATATTGGTGAACAGAAAGGAAAATATAATAACGCCGAAGACTTTTTGGATAGACAACGCTAAAAGCCCGCGCATAACTTTGACTAAACTATCGGCCAACTGTTTAGTCTCCTTTTGATTCCTATGAGCTTATATGGATTTGCACACACGATTTTTAGTTGTGCAACTAAACAGTTGAATTATCTGCGAAACAATCGACAATCGTACAGTTGTGCGATAGTTTAGTCGAAGGTGTGCGCAGTTCTTACTGTTAAAATGTAACATTTAATTCCAATAACTGTCAAGACAGCTGAAACTTTTTTACGTTATAAGTAATTCTGCTTTTTGACAAGACAAGGGTAAAGGTCGTACCAAAATATCACCGCAACCCGCATCTCTTTTCAAGTCTCCTGTGGAATTTATCTGTAATAATAATTGCAGGGTTTTGTAGGCAGAAATTAATGATTATTATCTGACAGTGGTAGTGCCCGCTTTAACATCTTAGCACTGCAGGGTCAGCACGCCCGGTGTAATACCACGACCACACAG